GAGAGGGAGTTGCGTGTCACTGCAGACGGGGATAAAAGTCCGACGCAGAGGTGAACGAGGGTGTGATGGGTTATTCACAAAAGTTGAGGTGCTCGAAGTGTTCACGCCAGCGACTGGTCTTGGCCGAGTTGTCAGCAACAAAGCCGCCATTCGCATCGCAAACGGAGCCACTCAGTGCAGAGGACTTACCGCTAGCATGGCGGATAATTTCGTACACTTTTCCGGTGCCATCGTTTGGGGCCTGCTGTATGGGAGGTTGCTGTTTCAGCAAAATATTTCTTCCCGTTATGCCTAGCCGATTTTGCCGTCATTTTCCGGAGTTGGAGGAATGAATCTACATGGCTTATTCACTGATTCAGTCACTGCGGCGTCGTTGGGTGCATCGAAGAATTTTCTCACCTTCCCCATAGACCGATGACTTGAATGAACTCTGGCTACCGCCTTCTCCGTCGGCTTGGGTCGCAAACCAGGACCGGATTTCTCTGCTCAGGGCCTCAGTGGTGCGGGACTGTCGACGTTTGGCAATATCGAGGAGTCTTGCAGGTGGCGTCTTGGGTGCAGATGAGAGGTGAACTTTTAAGCGTGTGCGAACCAGAACATGGTCCGACCCATAGGCATTACCAGATTAGGCACCACGCATCGATCTGGTATCGTGAACCCAGCTGCGGGACCTTAAGATGACTAGAAATCGGTCAACTAGCCGTGTGACCGTCGCTTTAGTACCAGGTCAGCAGATGTATGTGGATGCTGGAAGTATGTGTTGGTGAAAAATAGTACGTTCTGATCAGCAAAGTTAAGCAATCCCTCACTATTGTCGCATCACAAACCAAGCCCAAAACGGCCAATGAGGTGACCGTTAGAAGAGTCGCCAGGTCCAGTCCGAATAGTCCAAAACCCAGTAACAACTAGGAGATCACGGCGAGAGAGTCTTTTAACTAACGCTTGCAGCTGTGAGTAAAAAATACTTTTATCGCACTGTCTGGCAGCTGATGTTAGTTCGGACACGGGGAAGACATTGGCGCACTTAAAGTGACCTCTAAGTGGCACATAGGCCATCCGGTTATTGACTGGTTCCCATGCAGGTAGTGCACGACTCGCTTGTTGCGTGAGGGCGATCGTCACATCGTGTCTATCCGAAGATTCGTGTGAGTCGCTGTGATACGGAGAGAAGTGCGAGTTGAATGTCGGCATCTTTACTTCAAGAGCATCCAAGTCGGAAATTCGGAATTCCGACAGGCAGCTGGCAGCCACGTTGTAATGATGAAGACTGTACGCCGTCAGACTTTCGGTACTAGGATCCAGAAAAGTTCGCACATTCCAGCATCCGGTACCTAGGGTCCGTTCCCGATCGAGTAATCTAGCCCGCATACTGTTCGTCCGCACCACTAGATCAGGGTTGCGGAACAAGTCTGTTTCCACGAACGTCGTAGCATGGATCGTAATACGGTATTCAGGTATATTTTAATGAGGTCCCTCTGGAATTATGAGTACAGGCTGGTCTCCAAAAGCCGCCCGGATTACCTGTTCAAGGTTGCCTTCTCTAGAGCTTTGGTTTAAGAACCTAAACGGAAGTCGGCGGTGGCAAATCGTCACCGGGCTTGGCGACAAACTATAAGGCTGCCGGCTTGCTGGACTCCAGCTTCCCGCACTGCCGCTGCCGGTCCGCGACTGCTTATTCGCCAGACCCCAGAGTCTGCATATTTCGCAGTTGACTCTTACTTAAAGGTCGCTCCACTAACCCCACCAGTGGACGCGCCGGGTAGCCAACACCTAGACTAGCGGCTAACCCGCCTTCCCGGTTGGCGTATAGACGAACGCGACATACAATGTCCCTTCACATATGCGTAAGTTAGTCAGGCATTCACTGGTCCTCATAGAAGTCACACTTGGATCGCCTCTTGGATGGGTAGGGCATTACAGCGCGTGTATTAGAAGAGTTCTGTGGGCCGCTGTGATAGAGGGCGAGGTGTAAATTAAGCCCTGAGATCTAGATTTCCAGGGGGCCATAGAAGGGCATTTAGACTTCAGACAGTCAGCAGACATTCACATTCTATCAGTGAATTCGAAAAAAGAACACTCACAGCATCCTTCAGGTCCAAACCGGGCAAAAGTTCTAATTCCGTTCTTGTTTATTTTGAGAACACTCCCATTCAAAACGCCCGTATAAAGAGAACCTATGCATGAAAAGTTTGACAGCAATTAGGAACATACCTTTGACGACAATCACGCATTCGGGGCCGACCAATTGTCCCTCAAACTCTCGAGTTGCGTCGGCCAAACGGTCGTTTATAGCCAACTCATTTTCAAGAGGAGGCAATTTTGGGAGGGGTACAACGACCGGTTCAAAAGGGTACTGTCGGTCTGAGTACCAGACGCCCATGCATACTGCAACTACTAAAGTCAGGAAGGACAGTTTGGTCCAAAGCCATTTCTTCTGGACCACTGTTTCTTCTGCAGGCTTTTCTTTGTCTATAAAATTGGACACATTTAAAAAATGTCACCTACTTTCCATAGCGATCTGAAAGGAGAAACTTTATTAATTTCCAATCACAAATAGTGCTAGCGTCTCTATGACTACGAGTACAAATATGGAAGATGCTAAATAAGATCAACTTCAGAATTTCTGATTTCACAGGTATCATAGGAAACACCACAAAATAAGCCGGCGAAAGTTCATCGCAACCAAAGCACCGTAGGCGCTTATAAAGGAGAGGTCCAAGTGAGTTGAACGCATACTAGAGTAGGCAATCGTGGATCGGATGTGTTAGAGGACATTGTTACTGTACCAAGCCAGCAGACGGACTAAAACGAAGAAGCTGTGAAGAATTTTGATAGATATTTAATTTATGTTAGCTAAGGTAAACCGTCCTTGATAAGAGATGGAACAAAACTATAGTAGAGCCTGATGTCTCCAAATGCGGTAGTCCCTTCATCAATTGCCACCCTCGAGGGTGGGGTCCCACAGCAAGTCCTACACATAGAGTAACTCCGAAGGCGGCCCGCGCTAATCCGATCGTTCTCCCCACAAGAGAGCGCCAGTCCCCCGCCCCCCCCCCACCATTCAGGGGAGCAGTGCCCTCGCCGCATTGGAGGTGACAGAAAGTGCGCTTTGGAATGTTGACAGTGGCTAGTTAACACCATTCACAGGTCGGAGCATTACAAAAAAGTCAGCCAATGTTCCAGTTCTCCAGAAAGTGACCCTGGCCACTGTGGCGGCCTGGGGTGTCCGGTACTTGTTAGACAACCCAGTTGCCAACAGAGTAAAAAGGACAGTTTTGGTCGCTCGCTAACCGTCTTACTACAGGGAGGGTATCGTGACTCTCGGTGAAACCCGCTTTCCCAAATAAAGGAGACTGACAGAAGTTGGTGTAGGATACCGTTTTACTTAGGTTAACCTCGAGATGTGTTAATTGGAGGAGCGGTGAGACACAAGATTCGCCTTCGCCGTCAAAAACGACGCAGTGAAACGACTGCCCTGTCTGCCGATGCAAATCCACAACCGACTGCTGACCATGAGGCTCCTTCTCTGCAAAGTGCAATACGTCACAATTATGCGAGCCCACACCACCCAACAACAAGTAATGGGGATGAAATGGATAAGCGTTAAGATCCGCAAGCCCTCCTCGCAGATCTTTTGAAGGCAAAGACGTGGATTATCCTCGGTGACTACGATGATAACCGAATAAATGTGCAATAGATGTACATTATAAGATAAGAAGAGTGTTGCATGTGCAATAATCCCATCTAAAGTGGGGTGTTCTGTCGTGCCTGTTAAATTACCGGTGGGGATGCAGGACTGAAGGCAACTGCAGGGGAGGGCCGTGAGGATCGGACATTGAGCGAGAGAAAACAAAACTACCTCGTACGACAATAGCTGTGGAAACGAGTGAGAAACTCAGAACGGAAGGAGCACCGGCATCTACAGTGACACTGTAGTGGCCGAGGACGTCAAGGATAACACACCGAGGTAGCGAAACACTGGGAAGAAATCCTGGCTAAGATCGATCTGAATAGAGCTGTTAACATGTCGCAATACTCGTCCATGCGCGTATGGACGAGCATTGCGACATGTTAACAGCTCTATTCAGATCGATCTTAGCCAGGATTTCCAGGTTCCATCTCTTCCCATCGTACATTACGATCTTAGCCAGGATTCCCAGGTTCCATCTCTTCCCATCATACCTTACGATCTTAGCCAGGATTCCCAGGTTCCATCTCTTCCCATCATACCTTATCGCTACCTAACGTTCCTTCTTCCCCTGCGCAGGGGAAGAAGGAACGTTAGGTAGCCATAAGGTATGATGGGAAGAGATGGAACCTGGGAATACATATGTAGTAGTAGAGTTACAGCAAGGGAGTAGCCTGTCTGGATGGTGAGGCGACACCGACATGCCAGCTAAATAACCGGTGGGGAACGCAGCGCTGTGGGCAATTGAAGGGGAGAGACAAGGAAGGTGCCGACGTTGAAAGAGAGAGAGAGCGTGCGATGCGAGAGTTGCGGGAAGCTGCGGGGAGGGGGATGTTGGTAGAGCGGGGAAGGGCACCGGCCGTTTCAACTGACACGTACTCACGCCACTCCCACCCCAGACACGAATAACCAGGCCCAATCGGGGAAGGGGTTTTTAAAGGTTCGTCAGCCCCGCGACAATTCCTATTGGTCTATGACCAGAGTTCAGTGATTGGATACTTTTTTACGTCCCACTGTAGCGACTGGACCGAACCAGACCAGTTTGTTTTAATAAGCAGAAGAAATAGATAGAAAGTGTGAGACAGAAGCTGACAATTTTGTGGTATCTTGTGCCTTTTAGTGCAGATACAGGACGGATTTACTCTCTCCCCCGTGGAAGCCTCCAACTCCACCTCCCCTGAAGTTTTACCTTGAATCAGCGGACCTGTGTGACGTTTTGGACCTTTTCATATTACATTCATTTTTCTATCCATTACAATAAACCTTTCTATTTACATCTATCATTGGATTATCCGTGTGTTGCATGCTTGCGATGAATAACGACAATCCTAGTGAGATCATCGTGCACGGGGACGAACCTTTGAGTACCGGTTCCAAACCCGAGGAATCTACCTTTCCGCAGAGCCCTGTGTGCTTGGGCGCTACAATGGTGGCAGCGTCTCCTACGGACCCAAACCTAGCTGACACTAAGAATGATGTTACCATTGCCCCAACACAACTGCTACTACCTAAGTATGAAGGCCGAGAAGAGTTCCACGCCTGGCTAACACGCACCCGTTTTTATCTACAGGAAATACCGGCAAATGAACGCAGTCGTGCACTAATAAAGGCACTTGGTCCACAACAACTAGATAAGACCCTTGACGCTGGCCTGACGACAAAAGTGTCCATGGAAACATTGTGCAAACGACTGGAACAAGTACTCCGCCCTACACTATCTCTTAGTGAGGCCATCAACGGCCTTATTGGAAGACGATATCAGTCTTCTGAGACGCCGCAGCATTACGCCCAAGATTTACTTCGATTTGCCGATGCGGCTTACCCAACACTCGCACAAGCCGACTAAGAGAAAGTGGTTCTCCACCATTTTCTTGAAGGCCTGATGTTACCGGACCTAAAACACACGTTTATTATGCACCCACCGATTGAACTCCAAGACGCGAAAGCGCGTGTCGAACGCTACCGGCAGGCGAACAAGGAACACAACTTGACCAACACACCAACACCAAGACCAGGAAATCAAGGAGGATTCAACCGCTATGGACAACCGTGGCGTCCGTGGACGTACAGGCAAGATACAAGAACGGCGACAGGCCGAGGAAACGCCAATGTACGATTTCCAACATACAACGCAAATTATCAGCAAAACCAGTATACACCGCAACGTAGTCCCAATACGCCAAACAGGTACGCATGCAGCACGACGACGAAACCAACCGCCAGAGATGAAGATTCGGGTACAGTATGCGTTCCTACTTGTTCTAATAACTTTAATGCCAACGCTCCATTTTATACTATTGTAAAAGTCTTCGGTCGCTCAGTTAAGGCGTTAGTTGACACTGGCGCTACAGTGTCGTTAGTTACCAACCACATAATGCCTAGTAACTGCATAGACGACATCGACACAGTACGTCCCATACCTACGCTAGTTACAGCTGATGGATCACGTATGCATACCGCCGGCACACTCCAACTTCCAATAACATTCCCCAATGCTACTAAGGAACACGTTTTTATATTCGCACATAAGTTAGCTTGGGACGTCCTACTGGGGCTGGGTTTCCTGGCTTCCAACCACTGTGTTATTAATGTACGCGATCGCATCTTATCCTTCACTCCTGAGACAACGCAGGCACCTTCAACTGGAAATATGGATGAAGACACAGTAATTGCGTCGATAACCGCTGCAGTGGCCCTACCAACCACAGATATAGGCGACATACTCCCGAGTGATGACGACATTCCCAACACAGACAGAATGGAGTTGAAAACGCTCCTCGCCAACTTTACAGACATGTTCGCATGGCACGACTTATCAATAGGGCGAACATCGCTTATTCGATATCCCATTGATACAGGGACGGCGAAACCACTTTGGCAACCCGCGCGTGGTGTTCCGCCACAATTACAACAAGAGGTTAACGACCTCATTGATAGAATGCTCGCCACAGGGGTCATCCGACCTTCCAAGTCGCCCTGGGCCTCACCAGTTACACTAGTTCAGAAGAAAGACGGCAAGTTACGATTCTGTATTGACTATCGTCGATTGAACGCTATCACCACGCGAGACTCATTCCCTCTGCCACGCATAGACGTGACACTCGACGCCCTAGTTGGTGCAAAATGGTTTTCGACCATCGACCTTAAATCAGGTTATTGGCAAGTCGAAGTGGAACCAAAGGATCGACCTAAAACCGCATTTATAGTACCACAGGGTCTGTTTGAATTCGAGACCATGCCGTTTGGATTATGCAACGCAGCGGCTACATTCCAACGACTCATGCAAGTGGCTTTAACTCCTCTATACCCGCACTGTTGTTTAATATATTTGGACGATGTCATAGTTTTCGGAAGCACGATAGTACAACATAATGACAACTTGAAGGCAGTCCTAACAGCGCTACGCGAAACCGGCTTACGGTTGAACCCACGAAAATGTCAATTTCTGCACAAGGAGGTCACCTTCTTAGGACACGAGATTAGCAAAGACGGCATCTATGCATCACCCGACAAAGTTGCCGCCGTACGAACGTGGCCGACACCACAAACACCAACCGAAGTCCGGGGTTTCGTAGGACTGGCATCCTATTATCGAAGATTTATACTACACTTCGCGGAAATTGCCCGACCTTTGCACAGACTCACCGAGAAAGGCCGGAAATTCCAATGGACCGAGGAATGCCAAAACGCATTTGATGAATTAAAATCTCGACTAGTAACGGCATCTGTTCTCATGTTACCTGACACGCAAACAGATGCTCCACCATTCATACTAGATACCGATGCCAGTGGTTTTGCAATAGGAGCAGTTTTATCACAATCTGACACCACCGGCACAGAACGCTCAGTCAGTTATGCCAGCAAAACGCTATCCAAGCCACAACGTAACTACTGTACATACCGACGCGAACTATTCGCTCTAATAAATTTCATTAAACAATTCAGACCTTTCCTTCTCGGCAGGCATTTCATCGTTAGGACAGATCATAAAGCACTCCAATGGCTGCAGTCAATGAAGGATGCAGAAGGACAATTGGCAAGATGGCAGGAATACCTACAACAGTTCGACTTTAATTGCCAATACCGCTCTGGAGCAAAACACACCAACGCCGACGCAATGTCACGGCGTCCATCACCTTTACTCTCCGAAGATTTCATCAGAAATCCCAGTACAATTGCCACCATCACCATTAGCGAACCAACACGACACCATTGGGCCATAGCCCAGAGCAGAGATCCAGATACGGCCTTCGTCTATGATCACCAGCTACTCGGCAAACATCGCCCAACAGACGAGGAACTACGCGGGTCCTCGGAGAACGCTATCATATTACGGGCACAATGGCCACACTTGTTTATTGAAAACGAATTACTTTTTTTAAAGACGCCACAGATAGCAGGCCACGACTCATAGTGCCAGGCTCACTAACACTGTCAGTGCTCGAAGATATTCACCGTGAACTAGGACATGTCGGACAGTCGAAAACAGAAGCCGCGATGAGACAACGCTTCTGGTGGCCCCGCTTACGTGAACAAGTATCCATCTTTTGCAACACGTGCCCCACATGTGCTTCCTTTAAAGGACCTAATCCGAAACCAAGAGCACCATTACAATCAATGCCATCAGGGTTCCCGTTCCAACGGGTTGGCGTCGACATAATCGGGCCACTACCTTACACGACGAGCGGTAATAGGTACATACTGGTTATGGTCGACTACTTTACGAAGTGGGCAGAAGCAACACCGTTACAACGACAGGATGCAGCCTCTGTGGCGACTGCACTTCTCCATCAATGGATTTGTCGCTTCGGGGCACCCCATTCAATCCACTCCGACTGTGGAGCCAACGTCGAAAGCAAACTGATTCGCGATGTCTGCGATCTTCTCCTTATCCAAAAGACGCGCACAACTCCAATGCATCCGGAGGGCAATGGTCAAGTGGAACGCACGAACAAGACCTTAATCGACCTTCTAAAAGCTTTTGCTGAAAATCACCACCCCCAAAACTGGGATACACGTTTACCATACGCGTTGATGGCGTACCGTACTACCCTCCACAGTTCGACAGGATACGCACCTTTCTTTATGCTCACAGGCAGACACCTACGATTACCCGCGGACTCGAATTTCCCCATACCAGGAACAGACGAAATCCCGCCAGACAAATACGTACTTGAGTTACAGGAATCCCTACGACTCACCCATAACTTAGCACGTTCACACTTACGTATGGCATATGATCGACAAAAAGACTACTTCGACCGACGTACTCACGGGTTACCCTATCAACGCGGCGACTTGGTCCTACGTTACCGAGCAGTTCCACCCGTTGGAATACCAGCCAAGTTTTTTTTACCTTTGTGAAGGACTGTTCATAGTCACCGACATTAAACTCCCAACCACCTATATAATACGTGATCTACAAACCCCAGAAGGACCCACCTTTCCAGTACATTACGACAAATTAAAACCATACAGAGGACGACCACCCACGGCTACAGCGAACAACTTGCCCATATTACCACCACACCTCGTACCCCAACACACAGACGAAATTGAAGTCACGTCCCAACCCAACACCATACCTACACGCCCTGAGGACAGGGCTCCATCTGAAGGGGGGGCAGTTGTAGCGACTGGACCGAACCAGACCAGTTTGTTTTAATAAGCAGAAGAAATAGATAGAAAGTGTGAGACAGAAGCTGACAATTTTGTGGTATCTTGTGCCTTTTAGTGCAGATACAGGACGGATTTACTCTCTCCCCCGTGGAAGCCTCCAACTCCACCTCCCCTGAAGTTTTACCTTGAATCAGCGGACCTGTGTGACGTTTTGGACCTTTTCATATTACATTCATTTTTCTATCCATTACAATAAACCTTTCTATTTACATCTATCATTGGATTATCCGTGTGTTGCATGCTTGCGATGAATAACGACAATCCTAGTGAGATCATCGTGCACGGGGACGAACCTTTGAGTACCGGTTCCAAACCCGAGGAATCTACCTTTCCGCAGAGCCCTGTGTGCTCGGGCGCTACACCACTCAGCGTCCACGCCTAAGCGACTCCTTCAGTTGACTTAAACAACACATCCAATTTCCTGGTGTGTTAAAAGATACAACGTTCCATCTGCTCCTCACCAAATATGTCTGATCAGCGTTGTAAGGATCTGACGTGGTGTAGGGGTGCCCAGTTGTGGGTCCACGTGACGGTCGCAGATAGTCGCTCATTTGCTTGCAGGTGTTGCCTACGCCTAGCGTCCATTAACTGGCGCCCAACGCCCACGTGTGGTTACCTGAAGTCAGGCTCTGCCTAGTGGCTTCGACTGGCGGGCTAAGTCAGGCGAGGGCGTCCGTGTACGCATCTCCACAGACGGTAACTTGACTCTGCTGGTCGGGTAGATCACCCCCTCGTTATTTCCTAGACGAGACTCCATCTGCAACACCACAGGAGGCCACAAGATAACTGAGCCCCTAAGTCAGCGAACATTGCTCTTTCATCTTTACCCTTCTTGTTCTTGCTTGCTTGATTCTGTCTACTTGTTTGTGTTTTTCCTTGTTGTAAGCTAAATTCCGTTCCGTTGAGTTTCCTCTGCCTGCCTTTGCTTCCTCTAGTTTTCGCCTGCCTGCCCTTCGACTGTTTGTTTGTGTTTTTATTTGCTGTACGCTTACTGCAGTTCCTTTCAATCTCTCTGCTTACCGTTTATATATTTCGGCAAACAGTTCGCTTAGGGAAGGACAGGAAAGTTCTAATTCCCGTCTCTCTACCCTTCCCCCCTTCACGTCCTAAGGCGTGGACGACAGCAATTTTGTGGGTTGCCCAGGCTGACTCACTATCCCACTAACCCAAGACGTGGCCCATAGTGGAGTTCGGCAATAGTCTATGACAATTGCGCAGCCCTATTTGGAGAGAGCACTACTCACTCCCCCGAGGGGGAAAGGGTGAAAAAGGTGCCTTAAACAAATGCTGGGAGTCACGTCGTTTGCACGCCGACCGTGGTCCGCAGACGCAAACCTCACGGTCGAAACAACCGAATCAGAAACACTATTCTCCCTGTCTTGCCCCCCGCACCTGTCGCCTCACCCTACAGGCTGGTAGGGTGAGTCCGCCCACTCTGGCAGCCTGGAATGTTCATTCCCTTTTAGGCAATCCGAGGAGCAACGAGCCGGAACGGAGGACGACGCTAGTCGTTCGAGGGCTGGCGGGCTACAAGGTGGGTATTGCTGCACTCAACTAAACCCGATTCTACGAATAAGGTCGATGACCAGACTCGACGCGATAGGGAACAAATTATACGATGAACTGCACGCACTTCTGACGTGTGTGTCGAGAGCGGATAAGTTGACTGTCCTTGGTGACTTCAACGCTCCCGTCGGCACAATCCATGCGGCCTGGAGAGGAGTGCTGGATCTCCATGGTCTCAACGGCTCCAGTGACAATGGCCTACTCCACCTCTGAATCTGCGCAGAACACCGGCTCATCCTGACCAACATCTACTTCCGCCTTCAGACGACAGAGAAGGCCACCTGGATGCACCCTCTGTCGCAACACGGGCACCTGCTGAACTATTTTCTCGTCCGGAGGCGAGACCAGCGGGACGTGCTGGTGACGAAGGCAATCCCGGGTGCCGACGGTGGGCCGACCATCGTCTCGTCATCTCAAAGATGAGGATTCGCATATAGCCTCGTAGGAGACCTCAAGGTAAGCGGTCCACAGGTAAGCAAAATATTGCCTTGTCTTCGCCTGCTCACCATCTCCATTTACGCAATGAGCTAGCTCAAAGACTAACCAGCCTTCCAGACACCGCCGCGGCCGCCGCCAACGAAAACGCCTCGGTGGAGAACCATTGGTGTCAGCTGCAGGATACAATCCAATCGACGGCCCGGGCTGTCCTCGGTCGCGCAGGTGGCCAACGCAAGGACTGGTTCGGTGACAACGACGCCGCCATCAATAACCTAATCGCCGAGAAGAACCGTCTGCACAAATCCTACGTCAACTGTCTCACTGATTACAAGAAAGCAACCTTCTGCAGTAGTCGCAACTTTTGACAACGGGAAATACAGGACGCTTGGACGACTCGCAAGACGGAGGAGATCCAAGGGTGTGGGGTCGACAACGAATGGAAGAATTTCTTCGCCGCCACCAAAGTTGCCCACGGTCGGCCAACGAAAGTCACCGCTCCTCTTTATAGCGTCGACGCAATCACCTTATTTACTGATCTCAGTAAGTGCATTGTCGGAAAGGTCATGCCTTAGTCTGTTTCCGACACTCCAAAGGACAGAATAACCTTGATATTGAAATATTCCCGGAATATTTAAATCGCTCTTAAGAGGAGGTGAGAAATTCAGTGTATTTAAGTCTTTCAGAATGGGCCGAGTAAAGGACTCAAAACATGTGCCAGACGGAGTGAGACCACCAAAAATTGTCTTCCAGAATCAGAAACAAGCACAGCTACTGTTGGGCAGGAAATCTGCACTGCAAAATGCCCACCCAAAAGTTTTTTTTCTCAGCGGGACTTCTTACCCGCGGAGACAGGAATGGAGAGAGCTCGGGTTGGAAGTCTTCGGTAAGTCGAACCCGGGTGATAAACATCTCAAAATACTGAACGGGAAAATTATACACGTCCAGCGACCATTCCTCTGGAGAAAGCCAAAACCCTAAAAGCTTAGGCGCGATGGACAGCAGTTAATCTCAATCGGCTCTGGCCGGCATTTACATTCAATCGCATGAAATGGACAGACGTTTGTATGCCGGAGTTACTTAGTCCAAATTGAGATTTTGTATACTAATGTTCAAAACGTCGTTTCGAAGATCGACTATCTCAAAGCGCTGTCATCAGAACAAAACCCCAATGTCATTGCCATAAGGGGAACAAGGCTCAAATTCAAAAGCGTGGATGCCGGGATTTCGATACGAAGTTACCAGTTGTTTCTCAGAGACCGTTAAAATAGACTGGGTAGTGGAGTAGTCGTATGAGTAAGGACAGGAATTTTGACAGGTGAATGAGCCCACAGCGTCTATCTTAAATCTGAATCCGCCTGGATAAAGATAAAGAAGAGTAACGCACAAAACCTAGAATTCTTGACGGTTCATGCACCACCAAACTTTCCGAGTGTCTTTTCCATTTAGTCAGGGAGGTAGCTGGCCACCAAGAGGTAATTATTGCTGGGACTTTTAATACATCTAATAATAATTTTATTTAATGCCATTTCACAGGCATTGTCAGTGAAGCGTTAAACACAAATCCGGCCAGCAGTGAAAAAAAGGAATAAAAATAAAGTTGATGGTGGTTTTATGGTTTGGAGGGTTCAGGAGAAGAAAAAAAACTGCTGGTGGCAAACTTTCGACCGTCAAGAAGGGAAGGGTTGCACGGTATCGGATATTATCAGTCGCCAGTTTCATTCATGAAGTTGGGCCTAGTCCAAACTGAAGAACCGAAGAACATCTGCCGCTGTTGGCCAAAGAAATTTTCCCGGCTAGTCGTCCTGCATAGTTAGCCAGTGGCCTGAATAAACAGTTGAGGAAGAAAAGTAAAAGAAGCAAGATATTCTGGAAAACTGGGTCACCAGTGCAACTCTGGGAGTTTCGTTGTCAACGAAATGCATTCAAAATGCATCCGTCAAACACGGTAGGAGTATGGTCCAGAATTATCGACAGGCTGAATAAAAGCCCCAGATTTTATTTCACTATATTAACAAGAGACGGAAAACTAGGACCTGTTCGCAGTACTAAACTATGATAACCGTATGGAAATCACTGAAAACAGAGAGAGAGCCGAACACTTGGACGGCATTTTACCTCGGTTTTTACTGGGGGATTAGGGTTTAAGAGTCGCCGTATGAACAATAATTTTGAGACCGCTTGCCCAGTGATTCAGTCTATACCCTTGTCGTCATCTGTTAAATAAAGAGAACTACAAAATCTCAAAGAAGCAAAGTCGTCGAGCCCGACCAGTCTGTTGGCCAAATTCTTGAAAGAGTTCGCAAACGAACTCTTTGAACCACTAGCGCACACCTTACGTTCATCATTGGAATAAAGGAGACTGCCATCTGAATGGAAGACAGCAAATATCTTTCCGATATACTAGGGTTGAGCTCGCACTAGTGCTAACAAATACTGGCCGCTTGTCTCGCCTCCATATACTATAAAATAATGGAAACCATAGTTAAGAAAGCAACAATGGAGTTCCTGGAGCAGAACCACTCACTCTCAGCGCTGCAGCACGGCTTCACACAGAACCGCTCGTGCCTTTCTAGTTTATTGCTCCCGACCGAGCAGTGGACTCGCGCGCTGGGTGGAGATGGCCGAGTCGATGTTATTTACACGGACTTCAAGAAGGCGTTCAACATCGTCCCACACAAACGCCTAATCTACAAACTCTCCGAAATTGGGACAAGCGTAAAGCTGCTGACGCGGATCGCAGATTTCCATGCAGGCGGATCGCAAATCGTGTACATTGATGGCTCAAAGTCAACCGCCACCCCCGTTTAAAGTGGTGTCCTCCGAGCCCAGTCTTAGGGTCGTCGCTATGCCTAGTCCACATCAACGATGTTGTTGACAACCTGGGTTGCAGCGCCGTCGTGTCTGCCGGCGACGTTAAGCTCTGGAACAACATAAGATTTGACGCAGACAAGTACGCGCTTCAAGAGGGTCTCAACCGGCTAAGCAGTTGGTCAGCTCGTTAACTCCTCAATTTTAATGTGGACAAATGTGTGGTCCTGAGACTCCGCACCAAGAGGACCAGTAATAAGGATGATTCTTTTCAACACCTCCTTGACGGGCAGCCTATCGCAAGGTTTGAGGAACTGAAAGACCTCGGCGTCTTAATGACCTCCTCCCTTAAAGCGTGGCCACGGTGTCAAAAGGCAGCCAAACGCGCAATGTGGGTGTTATTGGTTTCTGAGACGAGGATTTGCGCAAATTGATCAGGAGCTGTTCGGAAATACCTACAAGGCATTCGTTCGGTCTCACTTAGAGTATGCAGGTCAGACCTGGCGACCGTGGTTCAAGAAGGATTATCAACCGCTGGAAAGGGTACGGGCGGTGGCTGCGAAGATGGTCGAGAATCTGGATCATCTGCCTTGCGCAGCCAAATAAGCTGAGCTTAGTCTGCTTCCCCCCAATTTCAGTCAACTGCGCGGCGACCTCATTCAAACTAAGCGTATTGTCAGAGGCCGTCGGTGTGCCCTAGACTTTGGTGAATTCTTCGAATTGGCTGGGACGAACCGTCCACATGGTCATCCCTTTAAACTGCAGAGGAAGCTGCTCCATACGGACGCCCGACGGAACGCCTTCTCGCAGAGGCCTATTGGAGCACGGAACGGACTATCTGATGCAGTGGTTCTTTCGAAACTGTTAAGTGCTTTAAGTGTAGACTAGACACTCATTTGTTGGGAATCTACTGTACATTTAATCGCGATTATGTTGGAGGTGGCAGTTTGCGCCAGGCCCACACTTACCGTTAGCTTTAGCATTTCCAGATTTATTGATCAGTCAATGTCAGTCAGTATATTTGGAGTAAACGACAGAAGCCCTGAAAACTCCATTTAGAGGGTACAGATATAAGGGAAAATAGTTAAATTGCAAAGCTTTTGCTTGTAGTTTTTGTAAGGAGAATTCCTTAATCTAATGATGTAACATAAAGGCGAAAAGGGTATCATATTAGCGAAATAATTGCGAAAAACTTTGTTCACTGCATTAATGTCACGATTGGCCTTATTGCTGTTTATCGATATGAATAGGGAGCTCAAGGGCGAAAGCCTCATTCCGTTAATAAAGTGACCTAAACTGAACTGACCTTAACTGACACAAATTCTACAGCGATGGACCGAGGACTTCAAGGACGTCCTCAACCGTTCCTCCATCATCTCCGACGCCACTATCGCCAGTCTGCCTCAAATGGAGACCAATGCCTACCTCGACCTCCCGCCTTTTCTCCACAAAACCATCAGGGCATTGCAGCAGCTCTCCAGCGGGAAAGCGTCCGGATGGGACTCGATCCCTGCTGATATCTACAAGCACGGTTACCCCCAACTCATGAATCATCTGACGACGCTTCTCCAGGGGATGTGACGTCAAGGAGAGGTCCCGCAGTAATTCATGGACGCAACAATCGTGCATCACTATAAGCGAAAAGGCAACCATCAGCTCCGCGGCAATCTTCGACGCATTTCGCTGCTAAACATCGTTGGGAAGATTTTCTACTGCCTCCTCGTCAACCGCCTGAACAACCATCTGGAAGATTGTCTTCCGCCGTCATCGTGGGACCACCAACATGATCTTTGCCACCCGCCGTCTGCGGGAGATGTGTCCGGAAATACGAACCCACATCTCCTCTACCTTTATTGATCTGACGAAAGCCTTCGACACGGACTGTGGAAAATCATGCAGAAATTCTACTGTCCCAATCGATTTACTTAGATGGTGATTCAGCTCCACGATGACGTGATGACGCAAGTAACGGACAATGAAGCTGCCTCAGAAGTATTCGCAGTGACCAACGGAGTGAAAGAGGGCTGCGTCCTCGCGCATATCCTTTTCAGTCTCATGTTTCAAGACATGCTGATGGACGCCTACCATGACGAACATCCCGAGATCCACGTCGCTTACAGGACGGACGGCCACCTCCTAAATCAGCGACGGATGCACTTCCAGTTACTTGTATCCATAACCACCGTCCACAAACTTCACTTCTCAGACAACTGCGCCCACAACGCCACCTCGGAACATGCAAAGGAACATGGATCTCTTCTCTGCTGTATGCGAGTACTTCGGCCTGATTATCAACATGGAGAAGACTGTAGTCATACACTAACCGCCACTCAACACTGCCAACAATGTACCGCAAATCAGCGCGAATGGAACCCACTCGCAAGTCAACTAAGCCTTCGGTCGTCCGCAAAATACCGTCTGGAACCGTCACGGCTTCTGTTTCAGCATCACGCCGAAGATGTACAAGGCAGCCATCCTGCCGACGTCGCTGTATGTAGCGGAGACCTGGACGGTGAACAAGAAGCAGGTGCGAAGGCTCAGTCATTTCCATCTCAGCTGTCTTCGACGGATACTGAATCGGAGATGGCAGGACCGGGTCCCGGACACGGATGTACTGGATTGAACGGGAATACTCAGCATTTACGCTATGTTGAGACAACTCCAACTGCGTTAGAGCGGCACCTCGTGCGGATGAACGATGAGCGGCTTCCCAAACGTCTCTTCTACGGAGATGTCAACACGAGTTCCTGGCGTCAAGGAGGTCAAGTCCGCCACTCCAAGGGTACTTTGAAGACTTCCCGGAAGCGTCTGCAGGTAAAATCGGTCGACTGGAGAGATCTGGTCCGGGACCATACGACCTGGAGGAGGACAATGAAGGCAGGCGCACCGATCTATGAAGCCAACCGCATCATTGCCGCCAAAGCCGAACGCGAGGCTCAAAAATCTCAACTGCGCATACCCCCTAACGCCAACGTTTAACCGCTCCAGATCTGCACAGGCTGCCCGCGGGCGCCTCGGACACCAATCGGCCTTGCAGGACGTCTTCGTACCAACTGCAGAATCCGGACAATGGCAGCTGCTGTCCTTACGCCCAGATACGCCTTACCGTGAACCCCGATAACTAATGGCATCCTTCCTCTACCTATGGATTTTTATCGTGATCTTCCTAAATGTGATCAGGCATAAATCTTTCGTCGTCTTCCTGTTAACATTTCCGCAAAGCCAACAGTAAAACGTCGCTTTTTTACGATGCAAATATTAACAAGGAATTAGTAAACAGCTTTACAAGCACTCTTGACTGGCATTAATTTTTTTAAAATTATGAACTAAATTTTATCTATGATTTATTGCAGTGCGTGACAGAAGGTCTTTTTGATCTCATTCTACGAAAGTCGTTTAAATCGAGTGCCACTTCGTCCAATGCCTCACATCTTCTTTAAAACAGACTTAAAAAGCTACAGAAGCAGCTTAAAGATCCTGCAGTGAGATCACTATCACTTCACCTAAGAATCGCTCAAATATTTGATTTTAATTCTGACAGGGAGCTCAGGCGAGATAGGCTCAGAGAGTTTTTAGTAATTAGTGATACAAACCCTCCTACATCTGTTGATCAGGTCTTCTTTCAAAGAACGCCAGCTAAGTTCAATCAAATCATCCGCCTTTGCTTATTCGCAGCAATACCTTCATAAGAGAGGAGTCAGAAAATCAGGAATGCTGAATTCATACTTCGCCAACTATTTTGTCATTGCAACTGACCTAATCCTCTTTATTCCTTCATTGTCTGGTGCCTCCCTCGCCACCATTACTTTTGCTCCTGTAGCTATTCTGAAACTGATAAAGCAGCTTACTAAGTCGCACTTAGTAGGAACTGACAACATCACGAAGTCTCTTATAAAACAGATAAGAGATTTTCCTCCGCTGCTTAGCAAATTCTTTTCAGTCCTCGAAAATTGTTTCTTTCTTGACCATTAAAAAACCTCTATTATTATTGCAGTATTTAAGTCTGGCTGCAGTTCTGATGTTTAAAACCACCCAGGTGTCCATTAAACACCTTTCGCCAAAATCATTGAAGCAATTACTGTCATGAAAATTACGGAAGTTTGAATAACCACTTAAGTTAGTGGCCCTTTCAAATAAGACTTTTCGCCCTAGTGCTCTTGTTAAATGTTTTATATGTCGTTTCTCAATCTACTCCTCTTTTTAATGATCATTTATCTGTGTTCGTCATTTATTTTGACCTTAGTAAGGCCTTTGATAAAGTGGCGCATAGAAGACTCTTAGTTAAATTAGAAGCTCTGGGACTTCGTGGTCGCCTTATTGACTTTATGAAGTCGTACCTATTTAATCGTAAACAAAAGGTTTTAGTGGGATCTTCATTTTCCAATGAGAGCCCTATTGTAAATGATGACCTACAAGGTACCCCTTTAGGTCCCCTTTTGTTCCTGCCTTGCATAAATGATATCTCGTCGGCAGTTGAAAATTCTCAATCATTTATTTATGCCGACGATCTCAAATGTGTATATTCTTCCAATAAATCTGCCAGCCTTCATTGTTTGCAGCAAATCCACGCTGACTTTCTTGCTCTCAACTTTGAGCTCAAAATTCCTAATGAAATTCTCTTCGTTTAAATGTCACTATATGTGCTTCGGACCTGATAGGCTACCCCAACCAGTGGTCTTTCAAGGCATAACTAGGACTGAATGCACCACCATCAAGGACTTAGTTTTGAGCTTTACCAATAACATTGGTCTCTTGTTACACTCTGACAGAATTAAGGCCAAAGCTGCCCAGATTTATGGCATTATTTCTTACAACTTTCATTCTTCCAAAATTAAATCAAGACACTATCGAATGTTTATAATCCCGATTCTAGAGTATTGTTGCCCATTCTTTGGTTTGATGAACGAGGCTAGTGGTTTAAAAATTGAAAATGCTCAAAGACATTTTGCTAAAAGATTCCTAGGTACGGAAAATCCAAGAATTGCCTACTCAGATAGACGCCAGCTAACCAACCGCTAGGCCCTGACTATGTTGCAGCCGAGTAGGGTAGCGCGGATCGGGGCTTGTAGACGTCGAATGCTGGGGCTGCGAGTTTTGGTTCCGCCGGACAGGATGCTGAGGATATTTTATCTAAAAGCTGCGTTGTGTTTTCACGCGCACTAGCTTGGGACATGGGTGGCGTAAACACAATAATAGATAAGCGGAAAGGTAGGAAATGATTTATTTCCAGAACGTAAATAAAACAGAGGTGGAAACAAGACTCTTGCATTTTTAAATTCTGCCAGTAGGGAATGGAATAGGCAAATATTGATAAATTGGTGAAATTTTGGTGAGTCGACAAAATAGTATAGAGAACGAATGAAGGCGAAATTTCGAGTTCCAGGTGTATACATATTTGAAGAAGAAGAAGAAGAATCGAGCACCGGAACAATTCGTTTATTATCCTGAGCTTTCAGACTCGTACAGGAGTCCATCGTCAGAGGTAGTGGCAGAAACAGGACAAGCGGCAGTTATAAGGCACGTAGACCCAATCATCGACCGACGTCGCACGACTGGAGGTGACTACGAAGGGCTCTGTACGCCGGCGCCAGATCGATAAATCGATTGACCGAGTTCTCATCCGAGGCCCAGGCTTCAATCAATTCTCGGCCTGTTTTGTTTCCGGCGTGGGCAACTATTTTGGTGGCTGCGAAGTCAAACTCGTGACCCTCCAGTCGTGCGACGTTGGTCGATGATTGGGTCTACGTGCCTTATAACTGCCGCTTGTCCTGTTTCTGCCACTACCTCTGACGATGGACTCCTGTACGAGTCTGAAAGCTCAGGATAATAAACGAATTGTTCCGGTGCTCGATTCTTCTTCTTCTTCTTCTTCTTCTTCTTCTTCTTCAAAGTATAGAGAACGTTTCTCTAAGTGAGCTAAGCGTAGTGACGCGAAAAAGGAAATAGAAATGCACAAAATATAGGATCGAAGAATAAGATGAATAAGAATGGATGACTTAGCGGGAGGCCGCGGCGGAAACCGTCAGCCCGGGACGAGTGATCAGCGGAAGCAATTTGCGGACTGTTTTCGCCGGCTATCAGGCAATTGGTTGAACATTTTCACACGAGGCGCAATAACTTTTATGCCTCATTTTGAGTTAAAATTTTGCGAAATTATGTTTGAGTGATACTTCCAGTCACTGAGTGACCCGGAGGATGCCAGTACGAACCTCGGTCATGTAATAAGTATGAAAGGTAAGTGCATTATTAGGCAACCGACTACTATGACAAGGCGAGATGTACCCACATGCTTTCTGATGTGGTTCAGAGAAAGAGTGAAAGAATTACAGCGACGTTCTTTAGAGTGGACTTCATCCATGAATTTTTGTCCATCGAAAAGGTTGAAGCGGCAAGAATTTTCTAGGAGAATGACTTCCTGGACTTTCGCAGGTTAAGTTGACGCTCTCAAAAACGTTGGCTTGTCTACTACCCCGTAACACATACGTTGTAGGGCTAAAACAAACACTGAAGCTGCGGGCATGTTTTGAGTGTCCGATGCAAAAACGGCTTATGTAATGGCTACGAAGTGCTGATTTTCGGGGTGAAAGAATATCAGAAGGTAGGTTAGGGTATACTTACCGGTCTTGGAAACTTCAGGTAGCTTGCCCAACCTTTGGATTATTCATGGCTTTTCGCTTCCGGTGGACCGTCCGAAAACGTCAGTCAGTTAGATATGACAGTAAGATTGTGCCTGTCATTTGATCTGCTTAACTGGTGGACTGTAAGGCAAACGGTCGATATAAGAGATAGTCTGCTGAAAACTTCACAAATGAACGACAATTTGCTATCATATTTTCATTGTGATTATCATATTACTTTACTTTTTTTAGCATGCTCTGCTATGCCATTTGTTTGTTGTAAATAAGAAAATAAATAAAACTTTTTTATTAAAGGCCTGTCAAAGTCCCATAAAACCAAGCAAAAATAAACTTTCATATGAATTTTAGACGAGGTAGGCAGAATCTTTACAAAATAAAATTCATACTTTCTGAATTTGTGGTCTATTAAAAATGATGAGCGAGCAGAGAGAAAACTCCACTATAGAATTTAGAAAAGGGTTGGATTAACTTTAAAGGAGAAGTACACTGTCGTTCAAGAAAGGACAAAGATGCGGGCACGGCCGGCATGAATGTGGCGGTGTATGACGGATTATAAAGGGACATCTCCAGAGCAAAAATAAATGTCAGCCTTGAAAGAATGAAAATGTAATCTAGAAAGGTGTAGTCTGAGGTGGGAAGAGCTTTCTGTTCGCGGCGACAAGGGTATTCTACGGCTCTGAGCCCAATGAATCTGAGTTGTTGCTTAACTCAGCTTATTACCCTTATGCCAGACAAGCCGTTACTTCTGTAACAAAGGAGTGAATATTTTAGGCGCGCTCCCATCATTTCAGCTGCAATTTGCGAGGTTGCCGTCAACCAACTTCCTAGCTGACCTATAAAGCACAATCCCCTTTACATTAAATGCAGTAAAGTTCTACGGAAACCAGTGGAAAATTTACAGGAAACGACCCAATGGTTTATGGTAATACATGACACATGTAGAAGTTGATCACATTGGAGATGGAAATATGGTGACGTTGACGAATTTCACAGGATTTGAAGGACATAATAACATCGATTACACGAACAAAATAAAAACGGTCAAAACTGCGACAGGCGTCACAGAATGCCCCTTTTCATTATCGCTGACAAACTCTTTGTAATATTGGAATCGGCGTTCAAGTTTAGCTGGATACAAGACTCAAGAAGAACTATGGAGAGTCACAAAGCACCAAGGGGACACGGGTTATTTTCGTATCCTGTCCACTGTAAATGTGTCAGAAAACTGGGACTAGATTCTGCCATATTCCGTGACTTTCCTGAAACATTTTAACCAACTACTGAGCCGATGAATATCTTACAAACATCTAAAGCATGCAGCCAGAAACCAAAGTGTCTGCG